GACAATTGCGGGAAGTTGGCCACATACTATTGGTAAGGGGTATTGGATATAACGACTGTGGAGCTAGTGTGTTTGTATATATGTATATTTACCTATACAAAAAGTTTACAAAGAAAAAGTAAAAAACGAACAGTTAAAGTGAAAGCTATTAAAAAGGGAAATCTACGAAAACTGCTTTTATAGTAGAGTTTAAATAAAAGTGGAAGGTGGAACGTACATCTTTTGAGGGGAAAAAGTGTAAACATTTGAAGGGCTTGTTATGGCGGGTAGGAACGTATAGCAGCTGCCACACAGGCTTTGAATGAATAATATACCGAAAAATTAGAAATAGAAGAATTTTCTTAAATAGTTCTGTTTAAAAAATCGTGTTTCGCGTCGAAACTTCTACCTTTACACGACATTCGTTTAAAACATTTAAAAACAAGCAGTGAAGATGTCCAGTTGGGCGCGTCGTGCAGCAGACATTAGCAATGTTGTCACATCATGCGGACATCCCGGTACTTCGGCACCAGATTATACATATCGACTGGAGAAAGTCAAATTTGGTGTACCATTGGAGGAAGTTTGCAAAAACAACGAAAACATTCCCGGACCATTACTAGTCCTTATACTTAAGCTTAATAAAGAATCGCCAAATAAGCGAGACGTATTCCGGGCGCCTGGCCATCAAGGTGCTATGAAAAAACTTATTCACTTCTTGCAATCAGGACGATTAGTAAATGTAGACAACTATTCAGTTTATACTATTGCCAGTGTTCTAAAAAAATTTTTGCGAAAAATTCCTAATGGAATATTTGGGAGGACTGGTGAGAAGGAATTGTTTGACATAATTGAACTGGAAGACGAATCAGAGCAAACGGATCGTTTGCATAGGTGAGTAGTCTATTATCTCTATAACTAGCAGAGCGCCCTACGTCGTTCGGTGTAAACAAATAAAAACACATATCGTCGTTTAAAGTGCAAAACCGCGTATCAACAAAATGCAAAACCGCTTATCAACAAAATGCAAAACCGCGTATCAGCAAAATGCAGCGTAAAAACACCGATATTTCAAAATGGTTTTATTTTTTATAAAACAATCGCATTTCTGGCTAGTATATTTCAGGACTAATGGATAAGGATTGAGCCAAGAGCTTGTGTGAGCAAATCCAATTTTTGGCAGCCAATGTCAGTTACGCGGTTTTGCAGAATGACGATACGCGGTTTTGTACTTTAAACGACGATATGTATAAACAGACAAATGTTTGATTTACTATAAATTAAAGGAGACAAGATGGGTGGACTTTAGTATTAAGCCGCACCTTTTGTTTTAAGAAAACCAGGTGGATTTAACAAATTAAACTTCGTCAGGATGTTAAGGGAGGTATCCTCTAAAACATGTATGACTAAAAAATATAAACAATACAATTGTTTATAAGTTATTTGTTGTTAGAAATTCTTAAGTCGTTCCACTTGATTTCCTTATCAAAAAGTGCATGCACATAACACTACATAATAGTTTGCTCACTTTTATTTTAGTTTATCTTGTATATAAATCACTTTAATCCAACTTTTATTAACTTATAAATTACATTGAATTACACCCATAAGTATTTACAATAACACCTGATGTTCTTTCCCTAACAATCCGGACCGGATCCCTTAATTAGAGAATAACCGAAAAGTTTGCTCTCAAAAATAGAACATAATCCAGAAGTACGGGAACGCAAAAAACCACATTTCGTGCCCAGAATTTGAGAAACAGCTGATTCGTCCTCTGACTCGACGAGCCTGACGCCAAGTAAGCGGGCGGCGTCTATAGGCGGGGTCCATAATGCTTCAGGTGTCCGGGAACAAATGCAGTTGGGCTCCAAATCTCAAAAAAAAAAAAAAAAAAAATGGAGTCGATAGAGATGATTGAGCTGAGTGTAACGTTATACCTCTTTTTTTTGCAAACAACAACAACAAAAATTATCAAAGGTTAAAGTTCAAAATAAGCAATTTTTGAAATCAAGATTTCTTAAAAACGGATAGATGGATCTTGAAAATTTTGATCTCTGTGTTGCGAAGAAAAGGCACTGAACACCTTTTGCAGAGAACACCTTTCTGCATAGGCGGCCTGCGACCGCACTTAGTGATTAAGACCTCACAACGTAGAATTCTCTTTCTGTGTTGCGAAGAAAAGGCACTGAACACCTTTTGCAGAGAACACCTTTCTGCGTAGGCGGCGTCGGCCGCACTTAGGGTTTTGTAAGCTTGTTTTTATAATTATTTTACATTAATTCAATTTTTGAAAGAACTATACTACATATATATAAAGTACGTATAGCAAATTAAAGGGAATCTAATTTGCTATTAAATGAAATTTTCCAAATGCATTCATTCGTTTTTGAGAAATCTTGATTCCAAATATTTNAGAAAAGGCACTGAACACCTTTTGCAGAGAACACCTTTCTGCATAGGCGGCCTGCGACCGCACTTAGTGATTAAGACCTCACAACGTAGAATTCTCTTTCTGTGTTGCGAAGAAAAGGCACTGAACACCTTTTGCAGAGAACACCTTTCTGCGTAGGCGGCGTCGGCCGCACTTAGGGTTTTGTAAGCTTTTTTTTATAATTATTTTACGTTAATTCAATTTTTGAAAGAACTATACTACATATATATAAAGTACGTATAGCAAATTAAAGGGAATCTAATTTGCTATTAAATGAAATTTTCCAAATGCATTCATTCGTTTTTGAGAAATCTTGATTCCAAATATTTCTTATTTTGAACTTTAACCTTTGATAATTCTTGTTGTTGTTTGCCCAAAAAAAGAAGTTTACCGTTATACTCAGCTCAATCATCTCTATCGATTCCAATATTTTTTTTTAATTTGAGATTTGGAGCCCAACTGCATTTATGCCCGGAGTTCTGCTAGGCTTCACCTGGTCTCTCTTGGCAGTTCAGCTTCATCGATGTTGATGGGCGGCGGTCGACTGCCTAGAACGATGTTGTCGTTTCTGGTGCTAAGACGACCTGACCGCATCGTTGTGTAGGTGGTTAAGCTCCGCTCTGCATTTCTCTACGTCTAAAGGGTGGTCTACGCACGGCTCAACGTCGGGGTTTCCAATCGAGCAGGTGACTTCTGACATGTCGGGGAGGCAGTTCATTTCGAAGTGGGGCGTTATTGGGGTGATTTCCGCGGTGACATCCCACGAGGAACTGCTTCGATAGCAACGTGTTGTGCTCTTTCACCGCCAGCATATGGCTTTCTTGGTGGAGGTGATGCTCGGACGACATGAGATGGCATCCTGTAGCCGTGCGTAGCAGCTGATTCGCGTTGTTTTTTGTTTTTGTCACTTAAATACAAACTTGGAAATTGAATTTTTGTTTCACAAATTTGATTTTAAGTATATAAAGATTGAATATACATCAACAGGCCATTCACTATTATTTAAAAGCACCAGGATAAATTTTAACACAANTGAATATACATCAACAGGCCATTCACTATTATTTAAAAGCACCAGGATAACAACACAACAACAACTGATATGCACTTTGACACTTTATGCATTTTTACTCGGAAAAAAAGTCCTGGCTGTTTCGGGCAGGAAAAAGAAGACACTTACGATCCAATACCAATATTACCCATTTTGTTGAGTACGGGAATGTTTTTTTGCCTATAATACATAAGATGTGTTGCCATACTGTACAAAATAGGAATCTTAATTCCGGGATCTCGGATACCGGACTTTAAGGTCTCGAAAATTCTTGGCAAGTAATCCCGGTATTGTCGGGATTTGTAATTTGCACTGATGGCAATAATAGAAACTCTTTTTCTTGACCAGTATTGGCTATATTTCCTTTTTTATTTAATAATTAGTATTTTTTATAAATGTCTTGCTCATTGTACATATAACACCGCGCGATAGTAAGTTTTAAATACAAATATCAAACGTGTGTCAAGTTAGCACTACACTTGGTGTCATGGAAAAGTTAACTACGGCATTAATTGTAGCTTTTTTGTTGTAATTTGTTGTGGAAAGAAAAAATTTGTAGCTCTAATTTTTTAAAAAAATATGTATGTAGTGCTAGCTTGACACCATACACTTGGTCGATAGAATTGAGATATTGAAAATGTTATAACGGCATTAATTGTAGCTTTTTTGTTGTAAACTTTTTGTGAAAAAAAAATTGTAGCTCTCGTTTTTGAAGAAAAAATTGTATGCAGTGCTAACTTGACACCATACACCTAGTCGATAGCATAGAGATACCCAATATGTTACTATGCCATTAATTGTAGCTTTTAACTTTAAAATTCTAATATAATAATCTCAATTCTATCGACTAGGTGTATGGTGTCAAGTTGGCACTACATACCATTTTTTCTTAAAAAACGAGACCTACAAATTTTTTCTTTTCACAACAAATTTACAACCAAAAACGCTACAATTAATGCCGTAGTTAACTTTTCCAATTTCGAAAAGTGTAGTGCTAACTTGACACACGTTTTAAAGTTTTGAATCTAAATATATGTACTGCCATAGTAAAAATTAGTACATATTTTGTTCTAATGAGCGTCTGGTAATCGGTACAGAAGGACCTCTCTGAAGTTGGCAGGACAACTTTTTCTCAAAGCAAAAATTTATGTCGGATAATTTGCCGTTAAGTATCCGTGAAAAGAATAATTTTGCCGCGGACATATTAAAAATATCGCGTACCCTGCTAACTTCCACGGACACCATGCGCGAGGGAGAAAGGAAATGTTTGCGTCTCTCATAGACAAGCCTGAGCAGGAGGGAGTTAGCAAGTGCTTAAAGAGCCCAAACATTAGCTGTCGGAGGCGACGACATAACTGTACGTTTATAAATATATGTACCAGGGTTGTTGCGAATATTCGCATTCGCATTCGCATTCGCAACCGCGGAGCTTCCACATTAATTTTAACATTCGCATTCGCTTTCGCATTTGCAAAAATCAATGCGGATCTTTTGCGAATGCGAATGTTAAAGGGACCGAAAATTACAGTTATTTTTTTACGATTTAAACTGGGCCAAGTATTTTTTATTCCGAAATAAAAGTACTTTTCGGATAATAAACAAACCGCTTTCCAAATTAAAAAAGTTTGGTATCCAATGAAAGAGGACTTGAATAGCTTTAAAACTAAAATATCTAAAAGAGGAAAGCCACACATTGAAAAATATTTCAATAAAAGATGGTAATTAATTACCATAGAACAAACATTGAGTCATGTATTTAATGAATTTCTTTAGTATTAAGTTATAAAAATATATAAATAGAGGTGGTAACCTTCATTCGTTATTTCTGCTTAAAAGCTATTTCAGTCCTCTTTCATATAATACCAAATTTGTTTAATTTGGATAAGCGGTTTCTTTATTATCCGGATAGGACGTTTATTTCTTAATAAAGAATACTAGGCCAAATTTAACTCGGAAAAAAACTGTTATTTTTGGTCTCTGGAATATTGTGCAAGAGCACAGACGTATATCTAACCAGTCACAGAAGAAAGCATTAAAAATTATTTATAAAAACTAAAATCGAAAAACGCTGATGACGTGACAAATTCTGAAACAACCACGTCCGTCACGCTAGCTGACCCACTTCTCCAAAAAATGATAAAAATTACTCAGGAATTAGGTGCAATTTAGGGCCTCCAAAATCAATTTAAGTGCTCACTCGGTTTCCGAGAAAATTGCAAAAATATATGGGTCAGCCAGCATGACGTCACGCTAGCTTACCCACGCACTAATTTTCCTCGAACACTGGTAAATATTATTCAGGAATTAGGTGCAATTTTGGTGCAGTTTAGGGCCACCAAAATTAATTTCGGTGCACACTCGGTTTCCGAGAAAT